CCTTACGACAAAACCTTGCAAGCTACCTGTGACGTATTCAATATGCCAAACACAGTAACAACAAGTCTCAAAATGGAGACGTTACTGGGCCTGCTTGAGCAAAATTGAGGAACAACGGGAGGACAGTGTTTTGTTTGTTTGTTCACAATAGTTGATTACATTTAATATTCAAACACCAATCCCACCACCCACCATTACACCTTCCCACCACCATATTTCGGATGTCTCCAACCTGAACCCAAACCCCTGCCCAAAAGCAGGGGTTGGGGTTTTGGTAAAACTGAAATAATAAATTGTGTATTTTTTTTTTTATGAAAAAACTGCTGAAAATGCTACAAAAAATTTCCTCAGAGGAAAGAGTGGGAAGATTGTTGTATTTCACCCAGGGACCATTAAGCCCTTCTATAAGAGATCACTAACATGTTGTTAAAGATTGAGCCTTGTGTGCATAGATACATATACATATATATTTATAGCATTGTAGTGCTGTCCTCTCGTTCATCGATTGCTTGAGCATGCACCAGTAACATCTCACAACAAATTGTGAGATTTGTTGTTACTGTTTTCGGCATATTGAATACGTCTCGGGTAGCTTGCCAGGCTTTGCCATGATGTGTGTGTGTGTGTGTGTGTGTGTGTGTGTGTGTGTGTGTGTGTATCTGTAAAAAATATTTTACTCTAAGATTGGTTGCCTCCTACTTTGAATCCCTTCAAATGTGGTGTTGTACTCTTGAGTATGGGTTGGGTGTGTGGTATGAAGAGTTGCATGGCTGCAAAGGTGGCCATGAGGTCCAGGAATAGATTCACTCATGGGTGAGATTGGCCAAAACGTGTAGAGAGCAGCCATGAGCATGCCGACATTTGAGTTCTGGAGCTTTTCAGCTGCCGGGGCTGGGTTCCTTGGGGTGGGAAGGGATTTACTGGTCCCCCTCCAGGGCACCCCGACAATTCCTTTTAACCCTTCTTGGAATTCACAAATGCCTCAGTTCCCAAAGGAGGAAGGAACACCTTTGAATAGAAACACCTTTTCATTTCTCTCTTTGGAATTGGAGTTCCCCCTTGTCTCTTTCTCTGTCTCCAGGCATGGTGTTTTACCAACCCCAGATGTTCAAGACCTCTGATACTCACAAAGTGATATTTTTCTCACACATAAGCTAGGTCACACATCTATGGCTATCAGTAAACCTGACCAGAGAATGGCTGCATTCCCCTGCTGCAGGACTCGTAACAGAGTCGTGACTCCTGCTCCAGTGCTCCTTGAAGTTCATCTGACTCCTATTAGTTGCTCCTCTGGGACTCACTGCTGTGACCACTACTGCTGCTATTGAAGGAACAGCTGCTCTTCAAACCTCAATTCAGACACCTGATTTCTTTAAAACATGAGTAAATGACGCATCACCTCTGGACAGTGCAGGATAATAGGACACTTTACAGCAAACACTGTTCTGGGTCTAGGGGCAGGTTGAAGTTTTAGAACAACAAATGAGACTGTTTTGTGATTGGAGTTGTCCCTCTATTTCAAATTTTTGTGCTTCATAGACAGAAAAGGGGGAGATGTTAGAAAACATGGGTCTTTCTCCTCTGCCTGAGGAGCTTAGGTTTACTGAGTAACACTCATCACAATGCTCCCGAAGCACTCCCATTCATCTTTAACTTCCCCTTTGTGCTCTACTTCCCCTGTTAATCTTGCATTTCTCCTAATCAGATCCTGTGACTTATAAAGTGAGATTCTTCAAGGACTCTGGATTTTGTATGTGCAAGTGAAATACTGCTTTTCTTTTTCCTTTATGTTTATTGCTTAGTTTACTTTAGAGCAATGTCCTTTTTGTATAGGCACAAAAGACAGTTGATGCTATACTTTTTGTAACTTGGGAGTTAATTGATTCTGAATTAACTGACTCAAGGACATCTGTCTGAATTGACAGACTCCAGGGCATCTGTCATATTTACTCTACTTAAGGCTCAGTTGCCCTTAGTTCCTAGCATCCCAAAAGGAGTGTCCCGATGAAGGGACTTGGCTGGACCCGGGCAAGCTGTAAGCTACCCCGGCATTGAAACAGGAGAGGCCAAGTGCCATAAAACTTATAATAAATTAAGAGCATGGTCATGGACAAACTGTCATGAACCGAAAAGAAGTAACTGGATAAGGACCCTGCTGGAGTTAGGAAGGACTAATCTGGCCTGAGGACTGTAGTCTGCGGTCTATAGTGAGATGTTCCCAGGAGAACCACTCTTTAAGTTTAATATATCTCTTACTCTGTCCATACAAAATGGCTAGAAAGATTAAGATGTACATTGAAGGTGACTCTTTAGATAGATATGGACTAAGGAAAGGAGAAATATGCCCCTAGATGAGATTCCACTCTTGGGCAGATCTCCTAGGAGGATGGGATTTTGTCCTAGCTTCCCCATAAGTAAGGGTTTTCATATGTTGATTGAGCTACTTCACCTATGTGTAATTGCTACCCCAAGCCCTTGGTGATTTCTCTAGAACTAACATGGTGAAATGGGCTTGGGGGAAGCAGAGACTTGGAAGAGTTGGGAATGAGGGCCAGAGAGAGAATGAAATGGGGGAGTGTGAGACTTGGAGGGAGAGGCAGAGTGAGACTAGAATAGACCGAAGACTAATCACCAGCCAGCCTGGTCCTTGTTTCCTCCTTCATTCACCCATCGCCATCTACCGTCCAGGGTGGGGAGACGGCTCCTGACACTGAATGCACGTGGCGTGTGCTCACACTTTTTTAACACAATGTGATACTATTCACTTAAATCACTTAATCACTTAACTTCCCGTTAGTCGTCGATTTGCTCGAGCGGGCGCCAGTAACATCTCCATTTGTCCCTGTCACGTGCTAGTGTAGCCCAATGGCATCTGTTCGCTCCGGGAACATGAAGGGCCTCAAACCGATCGTTCATGATCTTGACGAAGAAGTCTGACCATCTAGTATCCATCGTGATACTATTCAGAAAAGTGAAATCATGCGATTTGCTGCTATGTGGATGGATCTGGAGAGTTATCTGCTGAGTAAAGTCAGTCAGGAAACAGAAAAACAATGACGTCTCTCATATAGGGGATATAAAGAGGCCCCATAAAGAACCAACAAATGCTCAGAGGCAACAGAACCTGAGAACTGGTCTTTGGTAGGAAGCTTTAACACACAGGGGCTGGGAGTGATGTCCGTGGGCCCCACGGATGACTTATGTGAAGTGGGGAGGAGAAAGACGGTCACTTTCTCCCCAACCGCCTCTGCCACCCGGGACCCAGGGTTACTGGGTTCTTGTCTTGACTCGCAGAAAGGAATTTCAGGAATAGACAAGCAGTGAAAAATAGATTTTGTTTCATTTTTTTGTTTTGTTCTGTTTTAGGGCCACATCCAGGATGGTCAGGGATTGCTCCTGGCTCTTCACCCAGGAATTACTCCTAGAGGTGCTTGGGGGACCATATGGGATGCCAGGGATCAAACCTGGTTGGCCACATACAAGGCAAATGCTGTACCCATTGTATTTTCTCTCCAGCTTGCTTTCTTTACTTTCTCTTTTCTCCCTCCTTCCCTCCTCCCTCCCTTCCTACCTCCTCCCCTTTCCTTTTCTTTTTTTGCCACACCTGGTGGTGCTCAGGAGTTTCTTCTGGCTCTGCCCTCAGAAATCATTCCTGGCAGTGCTCGGAGAACCATATGGAGGGCCAGGGATTAAACCTGGGTCAGCTGCATGCAAGGCAAATGTCTTATCTGCTGTACTATTGCCCTTACCCCACTGCTTTTATGGTGACACCCAGTGATGCTCAGGGCTTGCTCAGATTCTGGTCTTGGCATCAGGAACCAGTCCTGGTAGGGCTTGGGAGACCATGTGGGATGCCGGAGATCAAACCTGGGTGTGTTGCATGCAAGTCGCTCTACTATTTCTCTATGATCTCCTCTACTATCACTCCAGCCCAGAAAGGCTTCATTTCTATGTCATGCACTAAAGCAGGAGGGCCAGATCAGGGAAGGGCTGGTTTTTCTCAGGAAGGTGCAGATGATGGGTCAATCCTGAGCCCAGAGTCCAGAACCTCTGATATTTCTCCTTTTCAGTGTGTGGTAATTCCTCAGGAAGCATCACTCTGCTTTCTCGGATCTAACTTTTTTCATTTTATCATGAGAGGAAGACCAATGAAAGTTCTTGCCATGAAGAACAGATGTTATTATCACTGAACATGAGTAGGGCATCCAGTTGTGAGCACTGTGGTGAGAAGCTAAAACCCCACTGAATGGCTACAGAATCCAGAGACTTTTCCCTGTAATTTATGAAGGCTTCAAAGCATGTTATCTGAACCCAAGTCAACCTGTAAATGTACATCTTATGACAATAAAAAGCAGTGACCTGAGGCATCTACAGCATTGCTGGTTGTCTAGAGTGACTTCAGCTGCAAGAACTAAGCAGGCACATTCAGACCTTTCTGCCATCCTGTCCCATCCTCAGACTTTATGATCCATATTTGCCTCCAGGGGAAGTGACCTCAGAAAAAGCCTTTGTGAGGCTCTGACACATATTTTTATTAATGTGTGGTTAGATTTACTGAGTTCTGGTCTAACTTATTTCTCGCCTATGGGTTTGCATTCATTGTCATTGCTAAATGTGCTTCCTCAAAGGGTAATATATTTAATTTGGTCAGTTATTTAAAGTCTACAGTAATAAGAAAAAAAAGTAAAAGAGGAAGTCACAGTTAAGAGGCAATAGTGTTCAAAAAATAAATCCTAATTTTTCCATGATGGGCCTGACTTTCCCCAGGGCCTGAGATAGTCTGTTGAGAAAGAACATTCCTTGCTGATGCTCAAAGACTACAGGGACCTAATAATGGCCAAGAACTCTGTGGATCAGTACTTCTCAAACTGGTCTGTTCCCAGGACCCACCTGAATCTGCAAGTCTCAGGTGGGGTCTGAGTGGTTGCCTATTTAACAAATTCCTATGTGATGCTCATGGCTGAACAGCAAGATCCCGAGTTAGCAAATCAAAACACCAGTTTCCCAACTCATCACAATTAATTTTATTCCACAGCATGTTCAAGGGAATGTTATTCTCAGGAAGATGTTTAGGATTAAAATAATTAAAAAAAACGTGAAAATTACACACATTTATGTATCTCTTCTTTTCATTAAATATATATCTGTTTGGCAAAAATGTTAGACTCTTTTGTACAAAAACAAAGCCAAAAAAAAAAACACCAACAAAACCAACCAACCCCTAACCCCTGCAAATTGTCAATACCTGTAGTAATTACAATGATGTAAACTTGGAAGTCTGATGACCTGACCTTTCTGTAGAGCACTAGTGGCAGCAGAAACCCCCAGAAAAAGTAACCCCAAATTCTCAGCTAACAATGGATGGCCTACCACAGAGGCATTTAGATTTAGTAGATCAACGATAGAGTATGATGACTGATTCCACCGTTTGTGCTTTCTGCTAAGGGGCTGGAAGTGTAGAGGAGAGAAAGAAGGCAGGGCTGGGCTGGGCTGGGCAAGAAAGAGGAAATTCAAGACTGGTTTGTGAGGAAAGATTAGTCTTGGTGCTGGAGCGGGGGTGGGGTATGCAGCATGGGACCTGTGTCCTGGGTGGGGGAGACCCAATATTTGTGAGCAACAGTGAAGCTGCTGCTATTCTTGGGACCAGAGAATTCTGGGGTAAAGCAAAGGCAGGAGACAGGAATAGGTACTTGGAAAGCAGACTACAATTCACAAGGAATTGGTGATGGAAGCTGACTCTAGAGAAGGGGAGTGGGAGGTGGTGTTGGATCTTATCAAGCAGCTAAGCCATACTGTCCATACTCAGGCCTGGGGGAACTCCTCTGGGTCTGGCAGGCAAGTTCTGGGGCAGTCTGCTGTGGCTGGATTTTCTACTTCAGGAAGGGAGTATGGGCTGAAAGGGCCCTTTGGCTCTCTTATTGGCGGTGGGTTTTGTTCTTGTCCTACCAGTAGACTGCAGCAGTGGGAAGTGATTGAAAGCAATGAAGTCCAGAAACAGAATCAGGGCAGTGAGCACAATGCCATGTTGGGGCTGAAAAATGCCAGGGCTAGAAGCCAGGCCAAAGCAAGTGATGACCCACATATTCCTCTATCCCAAGGTGATTCCTAAGTGTGGGCCTGTTCTTAGTCATCTCGCCTGTTTACTAGATTTTCCAGTTTGGGAAGGGTACTTCCTGCCCCTTCAATTACAGTCATAGACGAAATCATAGTTGCTTGGCTCCTTGGGGATTGGTGGAGGTGCATCTGGAATCTGAATGTTTTCCAGGTCTAGAAGGCGGAGCTTGATCTCCATGCTGAGCAGGGTGTCCAAGTCATTCCGGGTCAGGTCACTCAGCATGTCTTTGCCCAGCAGTGCATTCAGCCCATCTGTCCAGATACAGTACTGGTGGAAATAATACAAAGGTGAAACAAAGATGAAGGAAAAGGTAAGAGTAAGAACCAATACCAACTCTCAACTGATCGCTAGGTTCTGTGCTAAAGCTTCACCGAACTTATCATTTAATATGTGTGGCATCGCTGAATGTTTTCCAGAAACTGAGGCACAGAGAAGTTCAGTAATCTGAGGCACAGAGAAGTTCAGTATGTGGAGTGAGTGGGATTTGAACATGCACCACATTCTTCAGAGTCTGCTGTCTTGTAGGATGGAAGGATGAAACCTCACCACTGTGGTAATAGTAGGAATATTCCAGTTCTCTGTGACTGTGCAATAAAGTATCTCTACTGTTGGGAACTGATAATGCTTAAACTAGGAAGGATTAAGACAGACTGAGGAGAAGTGCCAAATGAGTGGCTTATCAGACGTTTATTTCCTACAAAGCTGGTGCTGGATGTAGAAAGCTGCGTAAGTTGGAGTCCTGTAATCATTTTTTCTGTGATATCTCTCCCAAAGACAATTCCCTTGAGATAAGTCCACCTTGGAGACTTTTGCCCCCTCAGGCAACATAGTTCCTATTGACATGTAGATCCTTAGCCTGGTTAGGTTAGCATAGGTAGGTAAATGTTTGTAAATGATTGTCCTTGTTTTTTAGAAGACTTGGTTTAAGACAATAAATATGGAATGTAAAGAAGAACAGGGCTAAATAGATCAGACTATGAACCCCCTGGCCCTGTGCTTTTATAGAGATACCTGTCTTTTCTTTTTAATCTGTGCAGCCCTCCTACTTCAGACCCATTCACCAAGGCTAGTTCCCAGCACTCAACCGTGCATCCAAGAGTGTATGGAGTTTTGGTAGAATATATCTCAATGCTACTGGCACCCACTCGAGCAAATTTTCGAGCAATGGGATGACAAGTGATACAAGTGATTCTCAATGCTCCTAGACTAGACTCAATGCCAGGGCAAAGAATATATCCCAATGCCCCTACAGTCAATATCAGTCAGGTTTCTTCACCAAGTGCAGCCTGGACTCTTAGTCTAATAGCTAGTCTCTGCCCAGCTACCTGACACCTGGCACTCATAATGTCAATTTCAGGCCACCCAGGAGCCACTAGAAGCTTCACATTTGCATTTCTCAGTAAAAAGACTATGGAATAGCTTCACCAAAGAATTATGTAATCTTTATGGGCGGTGGATTCACTGCCTGTTTGGGGAAACTCTCTAGTTTGGTTTCTCTCCTCTAAGTCTCTGGGGAGTCTACTGTCCATCTCTCAGGATACACTGTTTAGGGAAGTCCTCTGGGATTTATGACTAAGAATTTAGTTCTTCCCATCTCATAAAATTAATCCTCTTCTTTGCCTTTCCAGTAAACTAGGAACCTCTTGAGAAATTGAACTGAAGTCTTGTTTATCTGAGGACCTGCCTCACTTTTGGCATTTGCCTTCCCAAAAGCTAGAGTCCTGCCCTGTCCTGATGTCAACGCCATGATCTCTGTGAAACATCAGTCTCTTCTGTCAACATTTCATCAAAATTCCTGCTTTCTCAATGGTATGTTCCTGGACCTGCTAAGGTGTCCTAGATGTCCACAGATGATATCTATGATGTAACTGTCCTGTTCTTCCTGGCCAGATTGGTCTTCCTTCTACAGTGCATTTTCCAGTCCTCTTTGTTGCCTCATAGGGTCAAGCTGTAATGCAGAACCATACAAGGGTACCCTCTCTTTGGTGGCTGTGCTGCAAAATATGATGGTAGATCTCAACATAAAATTACTTAGCATTTTAAATGCTCTACAAAGCTTCAGTGATAAAGGAGTCCTAAAAATTTACTATGGTGCACATTAGCAGCACCAGTTTTGAAGTGGAGGAAGAGCCCTGTGAAAGTACTAATGGGCTCAAGGCTGAGTAAATTAGCCCTGAGCTGTGGAACTTTGGTTCTGCCTTCCTATTATCTTGGAAAAAGTATTTTACTTACCTAAATATCAGAAAAGTGCTAAGGGATTTCTAGAAACATCAGTGTCATCATTGAAACCTTAGATTCTAAACACATGTAAATAGTCTTTCATCACAAATAACCTTGATAAAAAGAGATATGCAGTTGGCACTCGTTTCAGATCCTGATTCTGTGGATTTTATGTGGGGGAAGCTTTATTTATAAATTCTTCAACTAATTCTGTTGTTTTTCCAGGTATGCATGCCACTGAGCTCTTCTCTCGAAGGCTTTTTCCAGTTTTGGCACTGTTTCACTGTAAATTCTTATATACTGGTGACTACTGCTCATTATATATATATATCCATTCTAGTCCCTACTACCTTCCCAGAGCAACATAATTTAAGCTACAGAGACACTTATGTGGTTCTTTTCTTTTAAGAAGCAGCAAGCTCAGAAAAAAAGTTGTTAAAAAAAGTATGTTGGTTGCAGGATAACATTACTTTGTCCTTTCTCCCTTGCCACAAGGAGCTTAGGTTTATCAGGTCACACCCATCAAAGTGCTCCCGAGTCACTCCTCCCATTCTTTTGTTTATCTGTAAACACTTCTCTATGCTCTCTTCCCCAAACAGTTAATCAGCTTATTCCCCTAATCAGTTTCTGTTAATTTGTAAGGTCAGATCTTTCTAGGACACTGAATTTATATACTAAGTTAATATTGCCTTTCTCCTCTCCTATTGTCATTTTTTTTCAGTTTTGAAAGTAGCAGTTTTAGAACTGCTACTTTATCTTTATTTTTTCAGAATCCATAAAATACAATTTCTCTCAGAAGTCTAATATAATATAAACTTTTAAATTGATTGATCACTAACAGCAATAGAAAAACAAACATTTTAACAAAAAATTCAATTATATTTGAATAGCAGTTATGCTACTCAAAAATTACAGATATTGAAACTTTCTAAATTTATTTCAAACTTAATTTTTAAAATTTATAAAGTTAGGATAATAATGTCTGATTCATTTGTTGCTTTTTAGAGATTCTTAGCAGTCATGTATGCGATGCATATATTGTTAGGTTTTTGGACTTGCAAAATTCACATGCAAATGTGAATTCATAGGTGTAAATTAAAAATAGTATAATTAGACATTACATTTCAAACTTGAACAATTTCAGTCACAACTTATTTAAATCTTTTTTTTTTTATTAGTGAAACACCATGAGGTATGGGACGGGGGGGGGGGATGGAGAGTGGGGGGGGCATGCTGGGATCCTTATGTCTTTTGAATGGTTTACTTTAAAGCTCTGCTGTGAGGGCAAGATACTCTTGGCAACTTGCCGGGCTCTCCGAGAGGGGCGGAGGAATCAAACTGGGGTTGCTACCCGTGACCTATTTGATATGCCAAACACAGTAACAACAAGTCTCACGATGGAGACGTTACTGGGCCTGCTCGAGCAAATCGATGAACAACGGGAGGACTGTGACTGTGACTTTAAAGCAATGTCCTTTTGTATAGACACAAGAAGACAATATTATGCTTTTGTAACATGGAATTTAATTTGCTCGAGGTAAAGGTAAAGGTAAAGGTAAAGGCCCTCCTGTTGATCGTCGATTTGCTCGAGCGGGCCCAGTAACGTCTCCATTGGAGACTGTTGTTACTGTGTCTGGCATATTGAATACTCTCGGTAGCTTGCCAGGCTCTCCGAGAGGGGTGGAGGAATCGAACTCGGGTTGGCCATGTTGGCCGCGTGTAAGGCGAATGCCCTACCCGCTGTGCTATCGCTCCAGCCCAAAGGTTTTTTTTTTCTTTTTTTTTCTTTTTTTTTTTTTTTTGCTTTTTGGGTTACACCTGGTGATGCACAGGGGTTACTCCTGGCTCTGCACTCAGGAGTTACTCCTGGTGGTGCTCAGGGGACCATATGGGATGCTGGGAATTGAACCCAGGTCGGCAGCGTGCAAGGCAAATGCCCTACCCGCTGTGCTATCTCTCCAGCGGAATTTAATTGGCTTTGAATATTATTCATTCCCGGGCATCTGCTTTCTCAACTTAAGCCTCAGCTGCCCTTACTTCCTAGCGCCCCCAAAAGCAGGGTCCTGATTAGGGACTTGATGGAATCAGGGCAAGCTGTAAGCTATGTGCTACTCTGGCATCAAGATGGGCCTGGCCAAAGCGCCACAATTCTTAACTATAAATTAAGAGCTTGACCATGACAAATACTGTCATGATCCAAAAGTAACAACAAGAGTAGGACCCTGCTAGGGATAGGAAAGACTAATTTGGCCTGAGCACTGTAGTCTGAGATCAAGATGACCCCAGGAGAGCAATAATATAAGCTTAATGCATCTCTTACTGTGTCCATACAAAATGATTAATATTATGAATGCTAATATGTTTGTTGGACAAGGAGAGGAGAAACACACCCATGGGATTCGCCCTTGGGTGGTAGTCCTGCTGAAAGAGAATCTGTCCTAAAGGCAGCATCCCCTGAGGGAAAGACCTTTAACCCTATTGATTATGACCACACCTATGCGTAAGCCCGAATCCCTAGGTTTTGGGGATTTAACTTGACTGTAAGAGTGGGCTGGGAGGGGGGTGAAGATGGAGATCAAGATCCAGAGCCAAAGCCAGGAGAGGGGGGTTCCAGATTGAGTCCCAGGAGAGAAGGAGAAAGAGAGACAGGAGCGAACGGGGATGAGAATGGAATAAACGACATCTGATCAATCAACTGGCTTGGGCCTTGTCTCCTCTGCTGTCTGCCCCATGGCCTGGGCCGCCCCAACTGTGGGAGTAGCCCAGGCCCACCCTGAATCTAGGCATCCAGGAGAAGAGCCGTCGGGGCCATCCCCTGGCCGCCCTTTGAGATTTTTTACAGTTGGCCAAGCAAAAATTTTGCAGTATAAATCTGTGTATCAATTCAATTAAAAGTATCAATATGATTGATACTTGATTCTAAAGTATCAAGGATGAAAATGATTCTAAATACCATTATTTATTAAAAAGAACCTTAGGTAAAAAGGTAGAAAATTTACAAGATAGCCTGGAATACAGTGGTAGGGCGTTTGCCTTGCACGCAGCCAGCCCGGCTGAGCCGGATTTGATTCCTCCGCCCCTCTCGGAGAGCCTGGCAAGCTACCAAGAGTATTCAATATGCCAAACACAGTAACAAGAAGTCTCACACTGGAGATGTTACTGGGCCCACTCGAGCAAAATTGATGAACAATGGGAGGACAGTGTACCTTCAAAGAGATGTGAAGTAGATTTAGAAGGACTCAGAAGTCTTCAGAAGGTATTCCTACTTTTTATAGAATAGATTATTTAGAAAATGATAATGGCAATAACCACAACTATCTGAAACACAATAATGTTCAAATCCATAACCTCATAATCATAGTCAAACACCAAAAAGATCTCACTGGTCTCCTTAGGAGGATGCTTATTACTTTGAAAGTAGTAAAGGGAATTAATAATTTATTCTTCCCATTAAATATGAATGGTATAACCTCAAGGTAGCCAAAGAGTTGATGAGGCCAGTTTATGCTAAGGATACTATCTCACTAATAAATGAAGGAGGATGATATTATTGGGTTATCACCCTCCTGCAATGTCTACTGGTCTAGAGAATAATCATCGATAGCTGCTAATATCCCCCAAAGACACCACAAAGAACACATCACTAATGCTTAGTTCAGTTAATCATACATTTGGCTAATCCCTAACTACCACTTAGCATGAACTATAAGACAGGTAAACATGTGTGATCACAGTATAGCCTGGATCAGGCAGGATGATGTTCTCCTTTCAAAGATGACCACATCCTAATCTCTGAACCTCGTGAGTAATGTTAGTATCTATGGCAAAGGGAAGATTGCTAATTATCTGACTTTGAAATAGGAGATTATTTTAGATTGTCAAGGGGAACTATAATAAACACAAGGGTCTTTCAACATGGAGGGGAGAAATGGGAGAAAAGAGTGAGTGGCAGAGAGAAACCATAGCATGAACTAACAGGCTGATACGGTGTGATGTGGACTCAGCTGGCACTGAGAGGAGTGATGGAGGTGGCAGCCCAGGTGTGCAGGTGATTCTGCCTAAGGGAAGGGCTAGGAAGTGAATCCACTCTACAACCTCCAAAAAAAGACAAAGCTTTGCTGATAGCAAATTTGGCCTAGAAAGATCTACAGATCTCTGACTTCCACAACTGCAAGATAACCTATTTATGTTAATTTACTAAGGTTGCAGTAATTTACTAGTGGTGACAATAAACTAATACACAGTTATAATTAGCAATATCTAAACCAGCAATGATATTATCAGATAATGGCTTAATGAGTAAATAAACCAAATGGGAAAAAAGCTCACGAGAGATGGAAATATTCAAAGACATTTAAGAGACATGTTCACCAACTGCAATGTATGGATCTTATTTAGATTCTGTTCTGAACTAAGTGTAAGGAATAGACAACAAATGAGATTATTGAAAAAGTCTGAAAACTGTCTATGGTGATATTAGAACGTTTAAAACTGTTTAGGTGTGATAATGGTATTCTAGTTACAATTCTAAGTGAACTATTATATAGAGATATAGCAGGAATGAAATCATCACTAACTTGCTTAAAAATAACTTGGGGGTGCAGTTAGGTATAGGGGGAATGGTATAGAGGAACTCAGGGCCATGCACTCTGGACTTAGCAGGGTATGGCAGGAGGTTTGTGCTTCAAATTTTGCTCTGTCCTTTCCTAGATACAAAATGCAAAGGCCAAAGGAAAGGGTTCTGGAATGAGAATGCCAGAGTTAAAGTCCTCCTTTATCCCTCACCACCTATATGACCTGGGCAAGCTTAGCTTCTCAATTTCCTATCTTGTCCCTTTGTAAGGTTGCTTTTGTTTTTAAGAATTTTATAAAGGATTAAGTGAGGTGAAGTCCATAAAGCATTGAAGGTGCCTGGCCCAGGCAAAGCGAGGCTCTTTATAAGGACTATGCTCTTGCTATTGTTAAGGCATTCCATTATTAAAGTTTCCATTCCAAGCAGGAGCTTGGAATGCTGTTTTTGATAAAAGGAAACATCTGTTGTGGAACTGTCTATTTTATGGAGTGATTATGCAAAGGACACAAGGCAGTAGATATGAAAGTGGTCTGGAGAAATTAAAAGTGTTCACAGCTTACAGCATTTTTCTCCTCACTATGTCAATAAGAAGTGGCAGATATGAATAAAAACTTGGCAGTTCAAGAACATTTATCTGGAATTAATGTACATGGGAGAAAACTGTCTTGCATAGATTTAAATAAGATCCATGGTTCCACTATTTAAAGTCATTTCCTCTATAGCTGTATACATGGTGGCCTGCATAAAATTACGCTTTTATTTGAAAAGAAATGGTAGAAGAGCATCTATTTTCAGGAAGATGAAGACAAAGTCTTAGTCTTCTACAAACTAAATGACAAGGAGCAAAGAATTCTACTTAAGCACCATTCTAAATGCAGGATTTGTGTCTAATCTTTCCTCTCTCGTTGGGATGTACATTTTCATTCTAAATCTTCTAAAGAGTGAAAACTACATACTGAATAACTTTTAAATGAGCTAAGTCTCCTAGGGGAAATTGGGAACAAAAGTCAAATTCTATTAAAATGTCTCATTCTTTTCTAAAAGCTGTTTATGCAATCACATGCAAAACAAAATTTGAATGGTATCATCTAAAAATAAGATTTTCAAATATGTAAGTTCCACTTTACAAGAGAAAGATAAATCAAGCATAACTGCTACAGAGTCTTACAAATGCATTTTCTTAGATTTATGCTAAATATTTTAAATATAGCTGACAGCGTGCTTCAAGAAGAGAAACAAATTATACATATAACAAGATGTCAAAAAGGAATAAAAGCATTTCAAAAATAAAATTCCAACAGCAGAGACAGCCCTGTACCTCTTAAAATAACTTAGAGATTCATGGTAGAAAACCCACTTCATCAAATGTTCAAAGAATAGAAACAAGTTTATCTTGTGAGAATTCTGTCTGAAAATTAAATATTCAACGAAAACCAAAGCTGTAACCAGGGACACTTTTATGTCCTTGCTGGCTCCTAGACATTTAGAAATTCATTTCTTTGCCATGAACTACTGGTCAGGATAGGAAGAAGTTGAACCTATTAGAACTGGCAGCTTTTCAAGAGGTTTCTATTGTATTCTGAGTCAACAAGATGTTCTTGTATTAATTTTCTCAGGCAGGTCTTTCTTTCAGTGCAGTATTTTCCCTCTTGTTTGTCTTTCTAGAGAAAATGAGACATTCTCTCAGAAGTTAACCCCACGGAGACCCTTACCTCATGCTTGTCAGGAGCGATGAAGTTCAGCTGGCAGTTGGAGTCATACAAGATGGAGAAAGCAAGTTCAAGCACCTCCTACAAGAGAGGAGAGAAACACCTCACATTATGGAAAACTGGCTTCAGAGAGAATAAAGATTGTTATGATAGGAGACACAACAACAAGGCTGATGGGAGGATGGAATACACTTAGCAAGGTTCAGAACTCATTTCCTGCACATCACTCAGGCATGTCCTCGGGAGGCCAAAGAGAGGTCAAATGAGTTGTTCAAGGCCACCATATACCAAAGTTCTGTCACTCCCCTGTCTTCAGCATTTTCCTTCCAGAGAGACCAGGGAAAACAGTCAACCCTTTCCTGATTAGCAGAGCTAATCTCATTATCATTACTATTATTATTATTTTTATTTTTAAGGATTTTTTAAAGTTGTTGGATCACACCCGGTGATGCTCAGGGGTTACTCTTGGCTCTGCACTCAGGAATCACTCCTGGCAGTGCTCAGCTAGCATATGTGAATCAGGGTTGGCTGAGTGCAAGGCAAGTGCCTTACCTGCTGTACTATCTCTTCCATCTGAGTTAATCTTTCTTTACTAAACCCAGAACGGATCTGCCTGCAGGGATGTGAAATAGGCCTTCTTGGGCAGCTGCTGATCATCAGGTAGCCTGCTTTTCCTCTGATAGCTGAACTACTGGAAACAAGTTAGGTTTCATTCAAGAGACGAGGAGGTAAAGAGGAGAATAGTAATCCAAGGGTCAGAAGACTTGAGTGCACACTATGATCCAGAACCAAAGACGTAAAGGACTGAGGCACTGTCATTTCACGGGTCTGTTATGGCTGTGGCTGAGGTGCTCAATGACATGTGATTAAGTACTAAAAATGCCCGTCTCAGATTGTACATGCTGTGCAGTACCAGGTGCAATCATTCTACTGCTCAGAATGCTCAGAAGAATACACTCTTTGGAAAGAGTTGTCCCCCCAAACCTAATGGTTCAGTCAGTAGAGGAGTGAAGAAGATGCTACAGTTCACTTTCTGTTACATCACCCTTGTCCCTGGCCAATCCACCTCCTTGGAGTCTTTGCGAGGCACTGCCAATGACCATGCAGCTTCCTACTGCTACTGTCTTCCTGATTGCCCATGAGGAATCTTTCCGCATGGGGCAAAACCCCCCTCACCATTCTCTCTGCCTTAACTGCTGGCAGGGAATTTGCCTTTAGGCAAACACAGAAGATAGCCCTAGAAAGATGGAAGGCAGGATGATAAGGACAAAGCCTTTTGGCATCAGGTTTGGGGATGGGCTAAAGAAACTGCTGGAAGTGAATAATGCAGGTCCAGGGCTAGCTCTGTGCCCCTCTGGACACCTGTATCTGTCAGACTTCACGTAGCTGTCCTGCAGTCCATCTGTGTCTGGCTTGCCTCCAGCTCAGTAGATGAAGCTCCTCTTGTCCTGTGCCCAGATCTCCTAGTGTCCTACACTCACAGCGCTCTCTCTGCCAGCAACAGTCAAGGGCGGAAGGAAAGAATGTGAGCTGGGATTGGAGCCCTTCCAAAATGACCCCCTTTTCTCATTTTTCACTTCTTTCCTTCCTCAGGCCTCCAATCAAACCTGCCCTGTGAAGATCGATACTATAACAGAGCATACCAAAACAAACAAAGCCATTTTTCCCATTACATCTGGCATTTCAGGTCTTTTCATTTAGAATGGCTGTGGGCCCTACTGGAGGCACTGGGAATTGGGGTCTTTCTCTCACAGAGCCCATTCTCTGGGGACTGAACACCCACCAGAGTGGAGCCAGAACACGCACAGCTTGGGAGAGGCAAGCCTCCTGAGCACCACAGTGGGGCTCTCCAAAGACAATTGGTGAGACAATTCATATTAAAAACCAGGGGTGTCCCCCGTGTGTATTCCCACAAAATGTCAAAAGATCAACAAAGATATGTTATATAAATATTATAATGTAATATTATAAGAATATAATATGAGAAATTAAGCAAAAATCCTTCTTCCTTTTAGTGGGAAAACCACTAAATTAGTAACCCAGAGAAAGATATTCTGCAGCTCCTCAATATCAACATTATGAACGGCTGATCATAAGTGAAAAAAGGTCAGAAGAAATAAATGCCATTTCCATACTGATCTCCCTTTGGTACAATGCCCCCCTATGGACTGAGACGGCAAGCAAATAGGTTTAATGAAAAAGATTATGTGTGAGTGCTAGAAACAGAGGTTATTGCTTTTATTCTTTTTTTTTTTAAAAATGAAAGCATTCCTTCTTCCAATAAAATATTAAGGTCTAACCTCAAATTCTTAGATAAGGAGCACCTATGTAATCGATGATTTACCATTCTTGGGGTCCTTCATTGCTAGGCAAACTCACTCATTCTGCAGAGAAGGGAGAGAAAGGAGAGGACCAGCTTGCTTTGAACCCAGTAGACAATATTCACAGCCACAGTGGGTGACCTTTAGTGGCTAAGAAAAATGGTGAAATTTAGGACAGAACTTTTGGGGCTGAGCAGGACCAGAGCCGGCTGCTTTGCCATGGGCAGTCATTAGGATAAAGCCCCCTGCACAGCCTCTGGAGGAGATACCAACCTGAGATCAGAATGTCAACACAGTTTTCACTGTGACGTTTTCCCTTCCACAGGGAGTGTGGAGATAGAGAGAGGAAGTGGGGTCCTGCCAACCAGGGGCTCTGCCCTGAGGTGGACATGGGGGAAGACATGCAAGAGTCAGGGCTGCCCTGACCTAGATTCCTAACCAACAACACAGGTCGTGCTCCCTGAAAGGCTGCTCTCTTTGGAATGTGTTTTCCTCACATCTCTGGCTCATCTTGGAATCAGGGTCACTGGGGCAGGTCAGCTCCTCAGCGGGGCAGCTGTGGAGCCAAGAGCATTGGCACCCTTGGGGCTCGCACCCCAGAAGCTGCCACCTGTCTAGACTGTGTGAGTAGTGTCAGGCGGGGAGTCAGCAGTCACAGATCTGTGCCAGTCTCCTCGGGGGCTTCTCGTCACATGACAATGCTCTCCAGGTCATGATTTGCCCCTTGCCACCAGATGTCTGTGACTGGCTCTGGGTTGAATTCAGTGAACCATGATGCTCAGGGGCATTTCATTCTCTTCTGTTCTATTGCTTCACATTCTCCATTTCACTCTGTGTTTGTGTTGGGGGGGAGTAGGTGAGTTCCAGGAAGATAGGGTTGGAGAACTGAAGATCCCTCCATATCCTGGGGGATAGTGTAGGCCTTGAACCCAGGATCAGTGAACAGTTGTTCAGAGATATCTGGATGAGTGGCACTTTAATTTGGGGAAGGCGATGGATCATATGGGTTGAATATGGATTGAATTCAGTAGTACAACAACATGCAGTATATTTTCACTGCACAATGCTGGGAGCTATTATTGTTCTGGGTGTTATTCCTAGATTGAACATTTTCCCAAAATTCATTCCAATTATGTTGGTTCTCCACCATCTATCCAGATCATTCCAAGAGTGAAGAATTTTGATAGAATAAATAAATAGGAGAGTGACAAGAGACAGTACTGAGGGTAAGTGAATTATTTTGCGTGCAGATGACCTGGCTTTGATCCCCAGAACTGTCAGGAGTATCCCTTGAGTGCATAGCTCTAAGCACTGCCTGATGTGTTCCCCAAAATTAAAAAAAAAAGAAAAAAAGAAAAGAATAAAAAGATCCAAGCTAAAACTTAGGATTTATATGTGCTAAATATGGTATGAGAAATCATAGTAGATTTCCTAGTTATAGTACACTGCTACTCATCTCTATACCTATGAATTTGAGTTTCTATTTTAGAAGGCAAAAGCACCCATCTGGGGAGTACATAGTAATATTGTATATTACCTTCTTCAGGCAGCTATAATTTTCTGGCCCTGATTTATCTTAGTAGCACTATAAACCAATGGTTTGCTGACCCATTTTATTCTCTCAGTCCTGTCAACTCTATACTATGAATTCAGCATTTCTCAATGAGAAAAATGATCTTTCACATGTTAAAGACTGTTGAAGCTTTTTGCATATTCCTTCCTCAAAAAATTCCCTCCTTTTACTTCTTTCCCCGATCATTCCTTTTTCAGATGCATTCCTCCTCTCAAATCTCCCAGGCTTTCCCTGTGTTTAAATTTATAGAGGAATACACAGCATCAAATTGTAATTGCATGCTGATAGTTAGCTTTATTTGCCAGATGCCTTGGGAAGGGCATGAGTCATATTTATCGTTGGGATTCCTAGCACCTAGTGCAGGCTTGGTCTAAAGATGGTCAAGACATTTACTGAATGAGTGATGAATGAAACAACTCGGAATAAACGGCTTTCTGCTTAAGAGCAGGGTTTTCAAGCCAGTGTCAGAATCTCAGCTCCTAATACAATCTGCTGCTAATTGCAGGGTCATGAGTCATACTGGAAAGATAAAAGCTGGATCCTGCCACATGGTGAGATGAAGTGTCTCTGCTGCCAAAAATCAACTTATTTGAATCTGAGAATTCTGGTCAAATCTTCTCTCTGGTAATTATGTGTTTACTGTTTAATATTTATAATTCCACAATTCAGTGGTAAAAGCACCAGGGAAGCCCAATTTCCAAAATAAACCAACTTGATTTCATATAAATTACTGAGTCTGAATTTAGAAACTGTAGTCCTCAAGAACAAAAACAAGAGTTTTCATTTTGTGTCAATGAGACATGTCCTAATTCTGTTGCGAAGAAGCCAACACCCCTGTCTCCCCAAGTCTCAAGGCCCTAGGAGTCCGGGATCACACCTGCTTGGTTCAACACTCCGTGTGCACAACTGTTCACATTTCAGGTGCTCCAAAGGTAACCAAGGGAATACATCTGAACAAAGACCTCTACCTTGAGGAAAAGAATTAAGGTTTTACTGGGACAGTACCTGGCACACAGGTGTTGAATGGGTGAGAAGTACCTCCAGTCAACAATCTTTTGCTATTAACAGAGCATTTTTCTTATGGGCATTTTAATTCTCAGTTTGCCTGGCTTGTTGAGTTTGTGAATCACCAGTATGGCAGCACACCAGGTCAGCATGTTACATGTTAGGACTGAGAGCACAGGTCCCTCTACCCTTGTAAGACACAATCTTGTCCTTCTTCATGGTGCTTGAGTCTTCGAAGGTTGTTCTGGTGCCAATGACACTCATCCAGGGCTTCAATGGATTATAGTTTGGGTTGCTACCCATTTCTCTTCATAGTTTCTTGCTTAGATTCTAGGGGTCTATTCCAGAGACCTCAGCTAAGTCTGAGAGAAGCCCTGCTTTTGTTGGGGAATGCCTAGGATGTTGAAGGAAACAGCCCTGTAGGGGGAAAACCATGAATGCTGGGACTTATGTGAATGATGTACCTTTGGAGTCTGAGATGCTCCAAGAGCCCTGCTTCCCCACATTATGGAAGGCAGAAAAAATTGCAGACTCTTAGCCATGTCTTTCTACACTATACTTGCCAATTTGGTGCATTGCAGGGTAGCTATGTGACAGGCTTGACAACAAAGAACTTCACATGAAGTTGAGGGAGTGACTCTCAACTAATTATGAAGTCAAGTTCTAGTTACCAGCCTCTTCCCTTTGTCTTCATGAACAGGATTTCTATTTTTGTTTTTTTCTCAAACATACACTCTCTGTTCTCCGAAGACCCAGATCTCACTTTCCTATTGCTTAAAAGCACAGAGCTTCATTTCAGATCTGACTGATCAGAGGATGTGCAGTTATTGTATCCCTCATACAGAGTCACTGGATAAGAAAGGAGCATCCTATGATCTCTGAGATGTCTAGAGCTCCGAGATTAATCTGGATGATTCTTTGATGGCGATTATGATCACAAGATGCCAAGTGGAATCAGCAAAGAACCAACTCCCTAATGGATCCCCCAAAGGTAGCAACTCCAAACTGGGGGAAAATGTTTTTCAGATGTCTTCCATGCTTCCTTGCTATAGAATGTGGGCTATATGATGAATAGCCAGCTGGCAACTAGGAGGGGAGGGGAAAATAATGCAATATGTTAAGCACTATTAACACCCTTTGGAAAAATCTCCTCTTTAAGCGCGGTTTACATTTTCCTCTTTAAGCTGAGAGAGCTTACACTCTGTCTTCCACAATGCTCAAAGATGCCTTACAGTTTACTAATACTTTTTGTATCAACTGTTCTATGCCTTTCCTAGGTTTCACTAAGACCTCAGAAAGATAATGCAGAGACTGAGGTAGACTGGAGAATAGTAATATGAATGAGATGTTCAAAGAGGGAATGATGGAAAGGAGTGGAGAAATCTCGAGTAAGAAATCACTAGGGCTGAAAATAGACAGGGAATGAAAAAACGAATGAGATTGTCAGGGTTCAGTGAGTGGTCAGTTGAAGGGATGTCAAAGGAATCAGGTAGGAGAGGGAGAAGGCAAGAGAAGTGCAACATGCTCCCGCCTGGCATTGGCCCCATGGGGCAGGCACTGGTTTGAGGTAATTTGGAAAGCATACCTTGTTCTGCTTAAGAGCACCTTTCTCTTTCATATGAGGGCAGTCCTTTCCCGTCACCACAGCTTTGATATCTGCCACTGGCACTGCAATTCATAAAAGAAAATGAAAGTGATTACACCAGGCAAGAGCATCAATGTCATTAAAGTAGATCTAAGCGTCGAGTCAGCTACCACAGCGGTTATTCTCGGAAACAGCTGCAAAATGACAAAAGAAAAGAAGTGAGAAAGAAAGGCAGGCAGTGTTCTAGAACTGGCAGCAAAAATATATTGCAATAGTTGGTAAAAAGCATCCCCTGGGGAGAAACATAAACAGAATTTGGTTCATAGAAAAACCAGTATCAAACCAAAAACCACCATAGTAGTGTTAGTAATAATAAAAGCAGTAATAATTGTAATAGTGGTATTAATACTGGTATTATTAATACATCTTTATGTCAAGTAACATCAACTGCTTCATATACAATAGTGTCTCTTGGAGCGATAGCACAGGGGGTAAGGTGTTTGCCTTGCACGCAGCCGACCTGGTTGGCCCAGGTTCCATTCTCTTGCCCTTCTCGGAGAGCCCGGCAAGCTACCTAGGGTATCTCGCCTGCACGGCAAAGCCTGGCAAGCTACCCGTGATGTATTGGATATGTCGAACACAGTAACAAGTGTCACAATGGAGACGTTACTGGGCCTGATCCAGCAAATCGATGAACAATGGGAGGAGAGTGCTACAGTGCTACAGTGTCTCTTGCAATTGTGTCTGTGTCTATTCTGCTCCTGTGATAGGAAAAGCAGCTCTGGCTCAGAAGACTGACCGAGTAGAAACAGCCTAGAACTCCCACCCTCCACATTTTACTCTCTACTACTTCACAGCTTCTCACAATGTGATTTGGCTGATGTAGAAACTATACACCGTGAAGTATAGATAAACATTCCTTTTGGACAGGGAAATGGTATTGACCTTGGCAATCTTGAGAATACCTCAGTTGGATAAAAGAAAAAAAACTCATGTTTTACTCCGGACTTGGAAAAAGAGAAGACAGTTTCTTGCACTTAAAACTTCTGTGAAGACATGAAGACAGAGAGAAGGAAGGAACGAAGATGGTCAAGAACCTTAACTTTAAAAAATGGGCAGTCAGTTGACCACCTCCAATCCCTAATCTTCCTGTTCCAAGGGGGACTGTGAATCTACAGTTCACTTAAGACCTACTGTACTTATAAAAAATGGTGAGAGATTTCACAATTAAAGGTAATCAATTTCATTGAGTTGGGGGAGTAGAATTTCAGATGAACTAAAATGAAAGAGTATTTCAAGTATCAAAATGATTCAACAGTAAGACTTCTTAAAAGTTAACATTTTCTAGGTTCCTGCTAATGTCTAAGCACTTTGTCCAAATCTGATACTCTTAGAGTTCTCTAGAAGTTCTCTAAAGAAGAAGAAAAGATTGTGATAAATTCTTCCAGGAGTCTGCAGGTTTCCCTGCTCTGTCCTACACCACATCTGTCCCATCATCTTGTTGATACTGGACCTTCTGGTCAGCATTACCTGGATTCCCTAATACAGAATTTTTCTCTCTTAAAGGAGTGGGGACATCTTATCAGGACATCTTTTATGACATCTTATTATCTCATTCCTACTTTGGACAAACTTGCAGGCTATCAAATGTAGCCTGCCCACAGGGCAGAGTCTGGCAAATTCCCCGTGGCATACCAAATATGCCAAATACCAGTAACAATGATGGGTCTCATTCTCCTAAAGAGCCTTGAATATAATCTCAGGGTTAGGATGAAAGAGACATTACTGGGGCCTGCTCGAGGCAATCGACGAATAACAGGATGATGAAATGAAATGAAATGAAAAGGAGTGGGGAAGACTACACTTCCCAGCAATCTTTGCAGTTTTAAGGGAGCAGATCAGAATTTCTGGCCAATGAAATATGAGCAGAAACAGCACATCAGAAATAGCATGTTTTTTTGGGGGGAGGGGGTGAACTGAAGCTATGAAAAGTCCCTGCCCAGCAGTGTCTCCCAGCTGCAGAACTGAAGAGACTGTGTTCCAGGCGCATGAAAAGCTGAGGAAAGCCAAAACAGTCACAAGTCTGTTTCATGGTAACTGCATGGTCCAGTCCTTTGCCAAACAATGCAACTTATGTGATGGGAGGGAGAAGCTTTTGCTGTTCCAAGCAACTGGGAGTCCGAGACTGGTAATGTCATGAGCATAACAGAACAGGGGCTGGAGCGATAGCACAGTGGGTAGGGTATTTGCCCTGCACGTGACCAACCTGGGTTCAATTCCCAGCACCCCATATGGTCCCCTGAGCACTGCCAGAAGTAATTGCTGAGTGCAGGTATGACCCAAAAAGAAAAAGAAAAAAAAAAGGAAGAGAGCAATGCACCTAGGTAAAGGCATAACCCTTCACCTCAAATCTGATTTCTGCCCTGCCTGGTCCCGTTGGATTGACATCTTGTCCTTATGATTCCTGATCTTGTATCTGAACATAATCAGTAATTTTTGATCTCCTCAAATCCATTTTCATAATCAAGTGTCAGCTTTGCTTCCTCAGTCGACAATTGAAGTTCTTGGATGTGACATTTGGACACTTTAGAAAGTCGGTTTACTTTTTAATGGGAAGTCTACGAATGAAAGTGAATTTGTGATATAATTAACATACCAAATCAACAAAGTCTTCTAAGGCTTTTGAGTCATAAGAAGCTTGCAGAAAGCCTTTTTTTGTATACCATAAAACATGGTCAATGAAATAGAGAGAGAGGGCATCTAGAATCTATAGCTAGCCTGTGGTTTTGAAAACCTATCATAGGAAACAAAAGCAAAGCTGAAGTCAGCGCTGGGGGCAGCTTTAGGCTCCCTAATGAGAAGACTTAAGGGGGAAAGAGGCACTTTGCCTATGTGCTTGTGGCCTCAAACAGAAAACACAGTTTTATGTTTTTTTTTTAATATGCATTGTCCCTTGTCACAGAGACAAGCTGCTCTATTACTCACAGGATTATAGCAAAAGGAAAACATAAAATTCTAAAAATACAGAACGGCTTTTAAAGGTTGCTCTTTGCATAGTTTGTCTCTAAAAGTGCTGGGAGATAAGGCATCAGGAGAGCTCAAATGTCATTTTCTCTATTGCCAGAACCCTGGCTCTTGATCTACACTTGAAAGAGGTAACTTCAGGCTCATGGCTATTTCAAAACCAGGTCATTTGGGGGTGGGTGGGTGGGGGGGGGAGGCAGCAAACATATGAGGATCAGGAGGGTCACTTATAATCACTAGCTCCAACTCCAACTCCTTAGGTTAGGTAAGAATCTCCTTTCTTTTCATTTTGTAAAACTCTTTTTATTGAATCACTGTGATACAGGCTCTTTCAAAGCTGTTCATGATTGGATTTCAGTCATACAGTGTTCCAACACCCACCCCTCCACCAGTGTACATTTCCCAGCACCAGTGTTCCCACCAGTGTTCTCTCCAATCACTCCCCCACCCCTTACCTGCCTCTATGGCAAGCACTTCTCTCTCTCTCTCTCTCTCTCTCTCTCTCTCTCTCTCTCTCTCTCTCTTTGGGCACTGTGGTGGTTTACAATATTGATGCTGAAAGGTTATCAAGAATATCCCTTTACCTACTTTTAACAGTCAGTTCTTGTCCAGCGTGATCATTCCCAGCTATTCCTGTGATAGTGGTCTCTTCTCTATCTTTCCTACCCTCAGCCCCACACACTGTGGTTAGTTCCAGCCACTGACCAGGAGGACTGGTCTTTTCATTTCCCCCCCTAGTTTTAGTTGAATTGTAGTTACTTAACGACCCCCATTTTACAAATGGGAAGACTGCAGCCTAAAGAGAAGAAATAAATTGTACCACATCACACACCTAGTGGGGGACAGAACTAGACTGTTGCTCCTCTACCACTCTCTCCTCCCTGTGAGGATGCGATTTCTCCCCACGTTGAGCAGGTGTCAGCACCCACTGGGTTGAACTTAGACACAGATATGGCTCTATCTTCAGATATTCAGAAACTGTTGCTAACATCTGTGGGATTTTTCAGTGATTTAAAGCAAAGAGTCATTGGAAAAAGTCACCTTGGCCACCATGATCAAGAGAGTTAGATTTTTCATCACTGAGGCCCCAGTCCTAGTAAGCCATGGGACCTGTGTGCCATCTCCTGGCTCATGCGGTGGAGGAGGGCGGGCAGGGCCGACTTCCATCATTTAGTGAAGAATCTTGCCTCTATCTTGGCAGTACAGAGTGATGATGGGTAACATGAGTTCTGCCTTTGCAATCACAGGGAGTGGATTTGAACTGTAGATCCACACACTACTTTAGGCATAAATTCCTGGCTCCCATGTTTCCTCGTCTGTGACTCTACCATCCCCGTATATCCCAGGAATTTTCCGAGAATTAACTCGGAACACTGGAATTGAGGTTGGTGTTGGCTTTTAACTTTGACGGTCCTGGGAAAAGATGAAACTCTAGGCCACAGAGTTTTGCTTTACTACTGACTAGCCATGAGACCGTCAGAAAGTGACTTATTTTTCTGTATCTCAGTTTCCTTATCATACCAGTAAAGCCAGGGCAAAGATATCTGCCTACTGAGGTTGCCAAGAGTATAATTTATGTAAAATTCTTAACGCAGAGTCTGGCATAAAGTAAGCATTCGATAAATGTGTGCAATTATTCTCATTATCAATATCAAAGTAAATTCTCTCTGGAGAGTGAGGAAAACCGGAATGATTCATTGCCAACCATCCAAATCACCCATTTAGCTCTGCTGTCTCAGCTGCTCTGCTCATCTACTGTAATGGATTTAATGGCATTTTGGAAGGGGGAGCTGGTGCTTCTCCACCCCTGGGGCCCTTTGATGTGGGAGTGAAGAGTGAGCACTGGCCTAGATTCTTTCAAAGGGAGGCACCGAGGGGCCCAGGGCACAGCTGGAAAGCAATGGAGTCTAGTGTTTAGTGGGGGTGCTGAGTGCCTGCAAACCAGGTGGGAGGGATATGGGGTGAGATGTGGATATTCAGGCTATATTTTCTGCCAAACAAAAGCAGTGAGAGAAGAGATTTTCTAAACCTGTCGGGAAGAAGACAGCTAAGGAGATGTCCTCAGGTTTACTTGCACCTTCTCAATTGATAGTGTTCAATTACATTATTTGATTCATCAATATCTCAATACTCTGCCCTGATTAATTCAAGGGATGAAGACAATTTTCCCCTCAAGAGAGGGAAATTGTATAAGGCAAGAGCAATGGCACTTAACATTAATGAAAGAAATGTCTCATTTCTCTAGTGGAACGAGGTTTCTGATTTTAAGAGTTCCAAGAGAGTGGGCCATTTGGCTTCAGGCAAAAGTGAAATTAAGAGCAAACCATGTGCCAAGCCTCAGTTTCCAAGTCCTGTATCTTCTTGTCTTTGGCACATAATAGGTGGACTTTTCTTCATTACATGAATATACTCCTTCCCAAGCTGACATACAATTTTGGTCTCTCTCTCTGTGTCTCTCTCTGACACACACACACACACACACACACACACACACACACACACACTTACAGTTGATCCTGCAATGAATAAACCTATGAAGTGGTAAACAGTTGCGTGGGATTGCTTTACTACCTTGCAGCTTCAGATTTGAATGAAAGCAAAACATCTTCAGCAGAAACATCATCAAATGTTTGGATTTGGATCCAAGTTTGCTCTAAACTGCAGTAAGACCTTCTCTTGTGTGGCTGGGTGGCAGCAGCAGCAACAAGCCAAGCCATGCGCCTCCCCCTGGCACGGTGCTCCCCCACCTGGTACAGTGCTGCCCCCACCTCATTGTGGGCACTTGAGTTCATCCTGTCGGAGACATCCAAGTCTATTAGAAAAGAGCTTCTGACATCTGCACTTGTTTGTTCATTGCAGCACTCTTTACAATAGCCAGAAACTGGAAGAAACCTGAATGCCCACGAACAGATGACTGGTTAAAGAAACTTTGGTACATCTACACAATGGAGTACTATGTAGCTGTTAGAAAAGATGAAGTCATGAAATTTACATACAAGTGGTACAATATGGAAAGTATCATGTTAAGCGAAATGAGTCAGAAAGAGAGGGATAGACATAGAAAGATTGCATTCATCTGGGGGATATAAAGTAACAAAGTATGAGATTAATATCCAAGAATAGCTGAGATCAGAACCAGGAGGATTACTCCATAACTTAGAGGCCAGCCGGGTATCCTAGAGGAAAGGGCAGTTCAGATAGAGAAGGGAGCACCAAATAAAGGATGTTTGGAGGATCCTCCCAGGAGGGGAGATGCATGTCGAAAGTAGACTATGGACTGAACATATTTGCCACTCAATGCCTCTTTTGCAGACCACAACACCCAAAAGGAGAGAGAGAACACAGGGGATTGCCCTGCCACAGAGACAGGGGGGATGGGGGGATGGGGGTGGGAGGGATATTATCCATGGTGGTGGAAAATGGGCACTGGTGGAGGGATGGGTATCTGATCATTGTATAATTGAAACCAAAGCACAAAAAATTGTAAATCTACAACTTTAAAAAAAATAAAATAAAATAAAGGGAAAAAAAAAAAGAAAAAAAAAGTTAAAAAAAAAAAAAAGAAAAGAGCTTCTGTGTTTGTGCCCAACTAAAGACCATGGGAAGGTTTCTGAGTACATTCATACAGCTTTGCGTCATATTTTAAATTTACTAGCAAGTGACCTTAAGAAAGATCTGTACTGTAATCACAATAGCCAAGGCCTAGGTGTTCAAGAACAGATGACTGGAGAGAGGAACTATGGTACCTATACACAATGGAATGCCACTTGGTTATAAGAAAAGATGAAATCATGCAGTTTCCTGCTACATGGACGGATCTAGAAAGTATCAAGCTGAGTGACGTCAGCCAGGAGAGGGACAGATACAGAGTGATCTCTCTCATAGGTAGAACAGAAAGACGCACAGCATGGGAATAATGAATGATCAAAGATCAAAGCCACTGACAATTGGTTTGCAGAGCTAATCTTACCAAAGGCAGGGATAAGGAGGGACAGTGAGACAATGGTGTAGGGAAGTAGACTCTCGTGGAGGATATGATGCCGCAGAATGTTAAATGCATGAAACCTGATCATGAACAGTGTTGTAAATCATGGTGTTCCAAATGAAAAACATATAATAACATAAGACACGGTCTGTAAGAAAGGTTTTGAAGGGTGCAGAGGGAAAGGCTGTGTGAGCTCTGGAGTGGAGGCTGGAAGGAGGCACTCGCCAGCACAGAGGAAGCAGTGGTCCGCTCCACCGCCAGCCCTTCTGAAGAGAAGCTCAGGTCCTCTTCTGCGACCAGGCCGGCCACCTGGCTTTCTTTCCTGGCACAGGGGTAAGTTTTGCTTCTGGGGCCATTTTCACTCTGAGTTTTTGGAATCAGGGTCTTAGGAGAGCAGGCAAGAGGAGCAGCTGTGGGCAAGGTCAGGACTGGCCCCCGTATAAGGCTCTAATGGGGTTCATGCCTTGACTGCTTCTCCAGGCAGTCTACTTCGTAAACAGACAGAAAGGAGTTGGGAGACAGCTCAGGAGTCGTGCTCCAGGACCTGAACCCAAATGCTCACACCATCTGGTCTCCCCAAGAACGAGTGGATTTAGCTTAGAAGGCCTCAGAATACTGCTGGGGCAGCCTGTTGTCCCCAGTGTGACAGGACTAAGTACCTCTGCATCTGTGAGGGTGGCCCAGGGGTCTTCTGAGCACTGGCCAGGAGATTCCTGCCCCTACATCCGAGACAGTGGGGACAAGAGGCCTTTTCATAATGAAAGGTTTATAGCATTAATTTATGGCTTTATTTTATTTAAAAATAATCCCTCCCTCCCTTCCTCCCTCCTTCCTTCCTTCTCTGGAAACCCATTATCAATTTACCTCTTTAAAAAGAAAAAAAATGTACTTAATGGTTCAAGCCAGATTTGGGGAATTGCTGTGGAGACTAGAGAATACCATACCCAGTAGGCCGCATCCCTGAGTTTCAGCAGACCTACTATGAGGTGGTCTGAGAATCTGCACTTGTACTAAGTTCCTGGGGGTCGGTGTTGCTTTGGGTCTGGAAATCACACTCTGAAAACCACTGGCCTAGCTTGCTCATGGCAGAGTGGGGAGGTTTCCTGTGCACATTAGTGGATGGCTGGGATGTTTCTGAGGAATCGCTGGGCAGGCACCTGGACTCAGCCGTGTACTGACTAACAATGGCAACAATGAGGACTGGGAGGGCAAGACTCCTAGGAAAGGGAATTAGAACAAAGAACAAAAAACACTAAATTACATTACAAGGACGAGATTGCTCCATTTTTAAGCTGGGGAAAAAGAGAATGTTCCAGATTGCTTGTCAGAGAGGTCAATACAGAGTGAGAATGTGTCAAGATTTCTCACTTGTGGTCGCTTTTCACCATTGATGGCTGGAGACTGCCAGGAAGAAGGTGGTCAGGATCTGATATTCAGGGCCCTGAGGTAACAGACAGGAAGGTGCTAGGGTTCGGGAGCCAAGGACTCTGGGAAATGCTTGAATGACTCATGACAGGGTCAATGTGACTTTTAAAGGTTATTTAAAAGTATCTATTTTCTCACTTTTCCTCACTCTTAGATTTGTCCATCTGGGATAAATGAACTTTACAAATATGGGGTACAGGAAATATATGACGTATGGATTAAACATGTAGTTTACATGGAATTGGATTGTGTCATCAGAGAAAGAAAATGAACAAAGTCATGTTTATCTTATTCTTACTCCATAAAATAGCGCTGAAAGTAGTAATGCGAAAGCACACATTTGGACTCCGTGTTTGAGAAAGATCATCATGCATTCTTTTTAAACCCCTGATCAGTCAAAGCTCCAACCCGTCCAGCTCTTTTGCTGGATGAGAATGTCCAGGTTAGAACTTTAGAACAGTGGGACAACTCCAGTGAATTTATTTTTTCTGATCATTTGTTCTCTAAGGTGTCTTTTGACCAGGAAACACACATCCAACCAAAGCTCAAGCCTCATTCAGGAGTCACTTACACTTGTCCTGCAGGGAATCATGGGGAACTTCTCCCTGGGGGCTTTCTTCCAAGTCTCCATAATGCAGGACCTTGTGGTTTGGTGAAAGCCGGCAGTACCAAAACTTATCTGAGGACAAAAACACAAATGACAGTCAGTGATTCTGGATTCCGAAACATTGATAGCGCCTTGCAGGAGGGCCAAACAGTTCATTTGATTTCAACTCTTCAGGAAATGACAGCTAGGGTCCCTTAGATTTTAACAATTTATTTAGTTAACACCTTTATAACTTTTGGCTTAATCAGTCTTTGGTAACCTAGGAAAGTTACATAGGAAAGTGTTGGTTAAGTTGATAGTTTTTGGAGTGTTAAATTTTATCAGTGTCTATAACCTTAAAGGAATTGTTTTTCATTACACAAGAGAATAGGGAAAAATGACATGTGGAAAACCTTAGTGCTCTGTTGCTTTACCTTTCTGTGATAGAAAGACAGGTGAGAGGGCTGTGTGCTATCCCTTAGTTGGTACAATAATGCCTCTACCACTCATGCTAACAAGTGCATAGTTCTGTGACTGAATTGTTAGGATGCTAGTGATATACTTTTGAATTCATGTAGAAACAAAGTAGATGATACAGGACATTTCCAGCTCCCTCACCCCCGAGAATGAGAATATTCTCAACTATCCCTCTGATTCCCAGAGTTGAGTTCTCAAAATAGATATGGCTAGGGACACAGTCTCTTTCTAACACATCACTTTTCTTTTTCAACTGACCTGTCTGACTTTCTAGATTAAAAACAAGTTTTTTTTAAATAACTCTTTAAGGTATAAATGAAGCAAAGCCCCGACTGTGTGGTAAGAAACTCTGACAATCATCCTTTTGTAGGTCTGAGGAGAGGCTCTGATGGAACTGGGAAGCCCTCTCTGATCATGGCTGCTGATGCTTTCCTTTCTCTGAGGTACTCTGGTTCTTCTTTGTACCAGTGACATGGTGTGGACTGAAATTATTGGTGACCACATGTTAATTGCCTTAAGTGTTCCCATTCTCTGTCAGAGCCCAGATAAGATGCCTGTTCCAGCAGGCAATGAACATGAAGAGGAAGACAAGGACACCTGGGAGTCTCATTAGACTGACAAGGAGAGAGTCAGGTTCTCTTGAGATGGTCATCATCTTGACCAGTGCACTACCCAATCCCTTGGCACAGTGACTGCAACACACAAATCACACAGTCACATTTGCAAAATTGAAAATGAAGGCCCAGGAGAGCTGGTCCAAATGCTGAAGGCACAAAGTCTATCGCCTACACCTCTCCATTTTGTCCCTTAGGTAGTTGGTAAACATCAAGACCTGAGTCCAATCACCTCATCACCACCTCTACAAACATAGATTGTTTTGAAGTAACTCTGACTAAAGAGTTATTTCAATTGTTCTAGAACATTTTAGGAAAAGTGTTTTCCAAAATTGCTTCCACTGAAAAACCATATTTTAACTGTGATTTTAATAGCATTAAAGTTATAAAATGAAAGGAAAAGCCACACAAAGAACAAAGAAAGAACAAGGAAGTACTCAAATTTGACACAAAGCAAGGTGCTAAAACCTCAGTCTTTCTTCCTAATACCCAGAGAATTCATGAATGGAATCAAAATATGATAGTCATGTATTTAAACAACTCTCAACACTGACAGAAAAATCTGAGAGAAAAATCAAGCTTTTTTTGTGACCAGGAAAATATCTTGAATTACTGAATTTTTTAAATGGTCTTTAATATAAAAGCCCAATATTTTTCATATTTCCAAAGAAATATTTATTTAACTTTAATTTTTGTTTTTTGGGTCATACCTGGTGTTTTTCTGGGCTTCATCCTTGCTGTGTGCTCAGGGATCACTCCTGGAGTGGCTCAGTACACCGTAAGTTGTGCTGGGGATTGAACCTGGGTTGGCCACATGCGAGACACGGGCCTTACCTGTTGTACTGCACTATCTCTTGGGCCCCTAGAAGAATATTTCTTAAAAAATTTTTTTTTATTGTACTTCAGGTAACGCACTGACAACAGTATTAGTGTTTATGATTTGGGTGTACACCTTACCTCCACTAAAGTGCTTGGGAGCCCCTCCCTACAATGTCCGCATGCTACTTCTCATCCTTCTCCTCACCCTTCCTACCCTTCTCCCTACTTGGTAAGTCAGCTTTGATATACAAGGCCAAGGTTTTGTCATCACTTGATACCACGCATTCCATTGTTCTCTCTCTCTCTCTCTCTCTCTCTCTCTCTCTCTCTCTCTCTCTCTTCTCTGTCCCTCCCCCCACAGATGAGTCAGATTAGCTGCTCCTGTCCTCCCTCTGCCTTACTCTGATTAATGTGACACCCTCCAGAGTTCCATCCCAAATTGGATCAAACTGCAAGGTCTCATCGTTTCCCTGAGTTTCCATCATGCACTTAGGCAACAGCTTCTTTGGGATGTTTCCATATCCTTGGTGTTGTACTAAGAACTGCAAAAGTGTACATAAGATATTTTTATATCAGTATATTTGTGTTTTGGGGGTACATGCCAAGAAGTGATACTGTTGAGTTATATGGAAGTTGAAGTCTTACTTTTTTGGTTTTTTTTGTTTTGTTTTTGAGCCACGCTTGGGGATGCTCAGGAATCACTTCTGGTTCTGTGCTCAGTGATCACACCTGGCATGCTCAGGGGACCATATGAGGTACGAGGGACTGAGCCCAAGTTGACCACATGTAAGACACGTGCCCTATCTGCTATACTATTGCTCCATCCCCTAGCTTGAGTCTTACTTTTTGGGAGTGATCTCCATGCTGGAACAGTATTTCAAAGGGATAAAATAAAGTTATTCTTTGTGTAATTCGATCATTTCAATTAGACAGATGTGAAGTAATGAGTTTTCCACAAGGAGAACACATTTGGGAATCTGATGTGTAATTCACCATAAAGATGATAAATTCCAAAGAAGGAAGCATGCTTTGGCCATTAGCAATCCTGTGGCTCTGCATGCCAGGCTGTGAAGGCTGCCTGCCCTCCAAGAGAATTTTCACCTCTTCTAAATGACCTGTGATGATCACAATGCCACTGGAGAAAATGCAGTACATTTTCCTTTCTCCTGCTTTCTTTGTGGTGGGCATTTGGAGAGAGTGGCTGAGAGGTCCAGAATCCTGGAAGGCCGTGGCCTCTGGACTTCGGGCCTTGTTTCAAGTAAGGTTTTATCGTACTCTCTCTAGAAATCTCCTGTACCTTAAACTGGGTAAGAATTAGAAAACAGTCATAGTAACATAAAGATCAATGTTCAATATAGCATAACCAAAGGATCAATTGTCCTCAATATATCTGCCAGAAATTCAACATGTACAAATTTATACAAATAGATATCGTGGAATAATAAACATACAACTTATTTGCATTTATATGTCATATTATGTAAGATTTCAAAACTTCATGCCTCTTATGTTTTCAGTGATGTGTATTATTATTTATCCAACGGATATTCAAAGAATGTCTACAATGTGTATTATATGAAGGGCAGTGAAAAAAATCTTGATGGGGAAAGACAGACATGACAAAGACAAGAAGGAGCTCTTGGCTGCCAGAAACTGTTCCCCAGGCTTGAGATGCTGAGATGGGATTAACAACGGATTCAGCAGTTCTGCCTGAACTACAGGGAATCAAGGCTCTGGGAAGGGTCCCTGGGAAACATATTTTTCTTTTCAGATACTGTTAAAGAACAGTATTTCTTGGTCAGGAATACAAGAAGCAAAACATCCATCTTTCTTGTGAAGGTGCAACTAATGTTTTATTTTGAAACAGAAGCACAAACACTACCTGGACCCTGTCTTAACAATGTCTGGTGAGGCTGGAGCCCTGGTATAGTGAGGAAGATGCTTGCCTTGCACACAGCAAACCCAGGTTCCATTCCTGACACCTGAGCACTACCAGGAGTGATCCCTGAGTGTAGAGCCATGAGTAAGCCATGAGCACTGTTGGCTGTGGTTCAAAAACAAAATAAAGCCAAAAAAAAAAAAAGAAAACCCCAAAGACCCCAAATGTCTGGTTGTTGAACAGTACAGTTTCCTCCATCAAGAATCTTAAATTTCACTGGCTTTCACCACTGTCCTCTAGTCCTACCTCTGGCAAGTTCTTCTCTTCTTCCTTACAAGTTCATCTCTTTTGTCAAATACTGAAAACTGAAAAGGTAGGACCCAAAAGACTGTGGTGAATCTTTTGATGCACTGACATAAGCGATGCATTCCTCTATTTCAAAGAGCAAGTCTTAGATGAATGACAAAGCACTGGAAAGGGGGCTGAAAAGATTGGGGTGTTTTGATTCATAATCAAATGGGTGGCTGCTCAGCTGGAACGTCCAGCCCACAAAAGTCATCAGCTCTTCAGCACACCTTGGGACTGTTGGTCTTGCAGGGACATCTATGTTCAAGGACAGCACTGCAGCCAGCTCCCATCAGCATGGCACCCCACTTGTTGAGTGAGACCATTTTAGTCATCTACCAGCAGCACTTTGATTTGCAGTTTCTTTTATGGTAAGAAAAACGTGCATTTATTTTCAAAACTCAGCATGATGCTACCAGCTCCTCCATCCCTTTGGGCAATGAATGAGTGGATTGTGTCACTAAAAGCAATTAGCAGGATGCAGTGAGAACATTATCAAAGATTGTTTGCTAGCAATGAGAGAGAAAGCAGGAGTTAATGTGGAGGTCTTCCAGTCAATTATGATGTTAGTACGTTAATAGCCATCTCTCATCTCCTAACTCAAAAAGTGAAATATTAAGACAATTTTGTGCTTCTCTCTCTCTCTCTCTCTCTCTCTCTCTCTCTCTCTCTCTCTCTCTCTGTGTGTGTGTCTTTGCATATGAAGGATAAGAGGGAAAATCTGTGTTTCAATGCTCACGAGCCTTGTAAGGTCTCCAAGACTGATTAAAGCTATTCCCAATGTCACATAGATCATTATGGAGCTAATAACCACTGACAAATGTGATTTTCACAACACTGTTTGACAGAACTTACTGCAAAGATGGCTAATACCCTGCATCTACTTTATTCAATAGTAAGAAAGGCAATGTCAAATTTTATTTATTTTTAATTAACTTAAATAGCCATGGGTTGCTCTG